GGAAAAACTAAAACCCTAATTTAACTTTGGTCACACATGGCATTGTTTCCTTCAGCGAGGCCCTGACAAAACAGGCCTGGCAGCTGCTGTCACCCGAAAATAGCGGCAGACTGAGCGACGGGCGGAGAGCAGAGTGACGCTCCCACGTTGTTCACTCTGTTGTGCTGGGCGCGGTGAAAGTAACACACGATCCCGCTGGCACCAGAGTCCACAGGTGTCCAACAGCCTCCTGTCTCTGTCGCAAAGCCACAGGCATGGCGGTAGCATATCAATTACATACAACAACACTGATGTCCTAATCTGAAGCCAAGTGTTAACAGGGAATGTCAAGAAAAGGGCACACAGAGTATGCTGAGCTATACACTGAGAGAAAAGTGTGATAATAAGAAAGCACTAAGCTGAAATCAGTCATGAAAAGGACAAGTGCTTCCATCACTTCTGAATGGCACATTGGACATTTCTGTTGTGCCAGAAAAGACAGCAAGTCCCCAGTAAAGTGTTTACTCTTTCTCTCCCTCATCAGGCAAAAAGCTTTTCCATGTAGTGGCGCAAATGCCGCTGCACGACCGAGCCCCTCAGAGGAATATGAGGTGAGTTTGTCCGCCTGATGAAAGTGCCCTTCTGGCCCACCTATAAATCTGCTCAGAGCTCCGTACTCCCCCTGAGGCTGCTACCGGGTGACATCAAATCTAGAGAGCGGCCGAGACATCCAATAGGACTCCCTCCACATGTTGACCTCAGTAATCCTAGACGACTCTGAATCTGCAGCACTCTTTGTTTGGCAGCTGGTAAAGATGAGGTAGAGGTTACTTAGCAGACACCTCTCGCAAACCATTTAACATGTAAAGTTCCAGGATTGGGCCAAAAAAAAAAAAAACTGCTATTATACCCTCCGGCTTGCTGTACCCCACTGCATCCCTGATACTTCCAACATAGATCCAAGAACTGTTTTTCTGCATTTTCCTTTGATTGTTTAAAACCATTTCTCACAAAAAATGATTTAATGGTACCTGTATAACAGTTTTTTCTCATTTGTACATATGTGAATATTGTATTTGTCTGTTTAATTTGTTTGTGATTACAGTTGAAATTCTTTCCATGATGTTCTATTGGCCAGGTCACTGTTAAAAATAAATTCTTACATTTACCTTGGCTTTAAATAGAAAATATACGGTGTAGTGGTGACGCAACCAATCAAACAAATGGGGATAAGGAAAACACCTTAGAACATCTAGTGTCTGATGTAGCATCACTTTCCATGTCGCAGAGGGGTTAGGGTTAGACTAAATAAGGGGTTAGGGTTAGACTAAATAAGGGGTTAGGGTTAGACTAAATAAGGGGTTAGGGTTAGACTAAATAAGGGGTTAGGGTTAGACTAAATAAGGGGTTAGGGTTAGACTAAATCAAATAAATACGACACCATTAGGTGTGGCTCATAGCTTACAGGCAGACTCAGTGGCAACAATAATATCACCCAAAGCATGATGGGAACTCTTAGGGCCAAAACCAATACATATTTACTTCAAATGAAAATAGGAAAAAAGAAGAACCACAGGACATTTTTGTTTGGTTTAAAATGGAAGGTACCATTAATTAGATTGTTCAGATCAAATTAAAACTCTACATGTATATCATGTACAGATATTTGCTGTGTATTGAAAACCTTTGGACAAAAAGGGAATAAAACCCAAGTTATTTGGAATTGCATACTTTTTTTTTCAATCCCCAATATGTATGGATCCACTCGCATACAGTGTGAAAAGATAGCATTGCTAAGTAGCCTAACCTATCCAGGCATGTGGTGTCAGAAGAGACAACTCATCCAATTCTTACTCAAAATCACCGAAGCTGTTCCACCTGTGACTGAGATTGGGTTTATGGGGCACAGAGTGCAAACTGAACGGTGCCAGAGGGCAGCTCTGAGCTTCCATTTATAGAAAGCCTTTCTTCTGGCCAGAATAATAGCTTTGTGACATCCCAGGACCCCCGTGGACCTCCAGAAGCGAGCGCATGTGGGCTAAATGTCACTCAGCAGGATCCCATCATTTAAGCAAAATCACATTTTCCCCCAGAATACTCTAACCTTAGACGCTCCATCACACACCCCCCGTCCTACAATTCCTCCATGAGAACATCCTTTAGGAGAGTGTGACTGGATCAGGAAATAGACGCATGACATTACAGGAAAGCCGCTGGGTTTCTTGGCGCACGTACAATCTGCTGCCACCTGTTCAGCCCCTAAAGCCAGGTCTGTTTGTTTTGACGTGAGCAAACAGTAATAGGATGACATATTTCACAAATAGGGAGGGTGGTCTTGTATGATGTGAAAATGACCAGGGGGGAGGGGAAATGTAATAATGCATAAAGAGACAGATGGGATCCTAACGTGTCCCCAATCTGGGGGAAACCATATCCTCACTTACTGTTGTTCAGAAATTAGAGAATAAACACGAGGCTCGCCTTTTTATGTGAGTGCACGAGGAGTGGAGCGCAGATCTCCAGCAGATAAACCTTTACAGACTCAAAGGTCATCAGGAAGTGTCCTCCCTGCTAATCAAATAGCCCTAAAGGCGAGGTTTGATCTTTTACAATCTGCTGAGATGGAAAGCCAGCCGGGCAAATGAACATCAGGCCGCTGGGTCTACGACAGGCCGCCTGCACCTGTTTATCACTCAACATCCGACAGAGGTAAACAGCTCGGCAGGCAGCGAGAATTACATTTGGTTAACACGTGTAATTCTGCAATTGCTCGGGTTGAACCTCAACATTTCAGTTTGAAAAGCCAGATTACAAGAGGCGAGAGACATTTATGTAATGCAATATAACTAAGAAGCTAAAGAAAGGTTTGTGTGTCGTGTTCTTCAAACCTTTACCAGCTTCTTAACCTTTGTCACATGTCGCACCCTGAGTTAATTAAATCGAAACATTGAACAGAAATGCATGATTTACAAGTATATTTTTCATCACGTAATGTTTTTCAACTGGTGATTTCACACTGGAAAGCATTTCACTTCTTTTTTTGCTTATTCGTCTCACAAGTGCAAAAAATCCTGCAGTCATCATGGAGCTGTCTCAATGTGTCTTTAAGGGGAATATTTATCCCTCCTTGACTGCATAAAGATTTACGCCTTTTTACCAGGTTTAATTTGTCAAAATACATTTTGCTTGGATGAACATGGACAAAGTGAATCATCGAAAAAAACTATGATTTCTGGAATGTACTACTCCTTGGGTATAAAAACAACATAACACCCTCTACTGAACTTAATTAATGAAAACTATGTGTATCAAACAGGTGGACATTAATATCCTGGAGTAAATATGTTTTAGAATATTTCAAGAGAAACAGGCTGCCTGTTTTGAACAACAACGTGGGTGAGGATGTGGGAATAACAGCTCAACAAACACACACAGCTAGATGTATGAAATAAAAACACACACGCACATACACACACTGCTATTCACTAAAACTAACCCATTATCTTACTCCCTGGTCAACTTCCCTCTCAGATTACCTGTAAATAGGCTTTAATATGCCCCCTAAACAGCCTGACATAGAAATCACACACATCTGCCGTGTTAAGGTAAGCTGCAGTTGCCATGGTTACAGACGTGCGCTCGCTAAACAGTTCTGTGGCAAGCCATCATTTGAGACGGGGCACTAGAGCTGCACATTGAGGGGAGCGTTGGTGGTTCAAAGGGAAAAACAAGGAAGCACAGGAAGAGCCGATGTCACGCTTCTCTTAGCAATATGCTGCTGTCAGTGTTGAGCATCACTGGCGCCTGGGCTCAGGACGAGAAGAAGACGCCGTGGGGACAACCTGAGATCAGTCATCACAGTTTCATATGACATTTAGAGGAAGATGAAGAAAACGTTTCCCGGTATTAATCACCTCATTGCAGAAAGCTTACGGTTACACACATCATCCCAAAACAACTAAGACATGTTTCATTTCCCTGGGTTTAAAAATAAAAACGTTATCAGACAAACATGATGCATATATGACTAAAGCACTATAAACTGTTTGTCACAGTGAGAGATCTTTACAAATAATAGTTTGAATCTACAACTTAAAGGTTTGATGCTCATCATATCCTTCCTTGTTTGTCCAACAAACATGAATTAAGTGCTTTGTTCAAATGTCACATTAACCCATTGTGCTTGAATGTGGCTGCCAACCCAGAATTCATGATTAACAACATCCACATGCTGAGCCAAATGGAGACGTTGCACCACGTTTAGAGGGGTGGGTGAAAGTGGGTTCAGCCCTGAGCACTGCGGCAAGCCTTGGCATGGTTCTCCCACTCATGCCTTTTCATTTCATCACTCCTCAGACCTACCTTGCATTGCCAAGCACTCACATCCAAATCATCAAACACTGTTTTAATATAAGAAGCAAAGAGGATAGCAGAATGTCCATCATAATGAAACTGTGCCATTGGGCGGGACAACATAATAAGGATCTGATATGGAAGATATAGTCGGAGAGGCATTTGCTCTCCACATGACGCTGTCAACAGACACACCAGGCTCCATGGCAACCACTGACCAAATGCTATGGGTAAACTGTACATGTCCCTCCCTCCTGCAGACATCTGGATCACTTTCTCTCTGCTGCTGTCTGAGGGCATTATGGGGTTGTATGACCTTAATTCACTCCTTAAATCTCCTCTTTTTTCGCCCTGGCTTTGTTTTGATGTGTCTGCCTCTCAGTCTGAGAGATAAGCTGCCAAGATATGCACTTCAAAACAATAGCCTCTATTTATGCGTTAGCCAAGCAGTAATAAATCCCAGGGACATTCAAGGTAAATGGTTGATGCAAGACGCAAGTTTCTACTCAACAAATCATTTTCACAAGACCCTTTTACAAAGTATGAGGAGGTTCAACACAATTTCGATTTTCAATATAATTACATTTTGCGCAAGGTTTAATTCAGTTTGGAAGTAAATATAAGCCCTCTATTCATTGTAAAGAAAAATGTTGAGAGTGTGAACTCACCAGGACTCTTCCTGTCAGTGTCTGAGCTGATATCATGACCCCGGCCCAGTCTTTGACCGAGGTCATCCAGCCCACCTCGCTGGCCGCCGGGTCTTCCTTATCAACGCGCTTGATGCCATCGCCTGTGGTGATCCGATGGACCGTCTGGGAGGAGAGGGGATGCAGAAGTTAGCAGTGAAACATGTGATGCAGAGACAAGAAATGATTTGTTTAGAAAGTCTGCAAATCAAACAATCACTATCTTCAAAATAAATGTTAATATTAGCATTGAATAGTATCTTGCTTATACAATAAACTACAGTACATACAACGGCCTTTTTTCATATTCTGGTGGATCATTCCCAGTATTCTTCTTGGGAATCTCCTCTACCACAGGAAAAGACGAGTGCTTCCACAATGGCAGTTTGTTCCAAGATAAATGTTTTATTTTCCTACTTTTTATCAACATCGTTTTTCAAACCAAGATGCTGCCCATCACGCATCCAGGCGCCATCGTGAAGACAAATAAAGACAGAAGGAACCATTACGTTCTGTAGAGGCACATGGCAGAATAGGTGTTATAGTAAAGGTTAGTGTCTTGGTCAAATTATGTTGGAGATGTCCACAAATGCAGAAGCATTGAGTCCCGTGTGTGACAACAGCTTGAAATGTTATCCAAGTGAAATTGAAAGCAATAGCTTGTGTCTATAGGAGCCAGAGTGCATTGACTAAATAAAATGTTATATCATATAATTGATGCTGCACACAAAATGTAACTGATTGCTCTAACTCAAAATGTTTTTTCAGTTAGCACATGTTACAACGGTGAGTGCAATATTGAAATGAAAGAAGCCACACTTCTTTTCTTAGCAGGAAGCAAGTAGCAGATAGCATTATGACTTATATTAATATCACCTTATGGCTAACGTGTTAGCAGACATGGAGCAACATTAAAATTATTTGGAGTCATGTTTCCGGACACTTGATAAATGTGAGTCCAGTAATCATTCTCCTTTTACTTCTATTTTGGACTCCATCAACTCTTAAAAAAAGATCTGGCTCTTTAGCTGCTAAATACTCTATCACTCTGTTCACAATATTATTGTTTTCCCTGTAGTTTATAACAGCCACAGTGTTTGCCACAACATTTCCATTATATTTAAAATTTAAAATTAATTGTTTAAAGGTAGGGTAGGTAAGTTTGAGAAACCGGCTCGAGATACACTTTTTGTTATATTCCATGGAATGCTCTTAACATCCCGATAGCAATGAATATCTTAAGTGCTTTGACAAAAAATCATCTGTGGAAGCCGTAGTACTGTAAAAAGCACGACCAATCATTTTAGCCGGCCCGGCTAAAATAACTGGATGGCCTACCTGCCTGTCAGCCTTCCATCTGTGCACAAACTTATCTCGTGCCCTCATTGGTCATGTGCGCGTTCGTGTGTGTTGGAGGAGGGGCTCTATAAGGAAGTGGCAGATTTTCTCCGGTTGTGTATTTTCAAATTCTAGCGATCTCGAGCCGGTTTCTCAAATGTACCTACCCTACCTTTAACCTAATCAGTGCTAAAAATAAAACATTGGTTAGTGAAGCTTTAAACAAAAAATTCCTCAAATGTTACATTTGCATGTGAAAGAAAAGTTATGTCAAATCAAAACAAGGAGCTGAACGACACTCAAACCCTTAAAAACCGACATGATGTGGGTCTGGGCCAGTTAGGAGCACTAACTGGCCATATTCATAATTTTTATTTAATTTATTGTTAATTACTGAATTTCTGATTGGTTTTAAGTTGACATAAAGTAGCAGAGTACAAATGAACCTTGTGAATAGAAATGTACTACCTACGTGTTTTGTTTGATTGACAGCTTTGTAAAAAAACAACATGAGCAACTGCTCAATACCCAAAAATCTCAGCTCCTTTTGATTTTAGTGACCAGGCTCCATGCTTCCAAAATGATCCCACGCACATGCATGCACACATGCATACAGTAAACATACAGAGTGAGCGGAGCAGAGACTCCAGGAGTGTATCCATGGCAGCCGCTGAGCTCCTGGTGTTTCTGCTCCACTGAGTGGGCTGCCTGGCTTCCTGCCTGCCTGTCTGTCCACCTGTCTGTCTGCCTCTGTGTGTCTGTCTGCTGGGACTGGCATGATTCACAGAGCAGGAAATCGAGACAGGATGCAGAGGTTAGCCCTGCTCCCTGATGAAACACCCCACATCCACGAGGCTACCTACCTACGTGTTTTGTTTGATTGACGACTCAGACTCTTTACCCTCCTGCACCTTAATGGTGTCACACATCACTCTCTCTGAGGCAGCACTGCTTGTCACGTGGGAGAAGTCGATGCCCTTTCATGTTTCAAAGTTACAACAAAAAAGTTACAACATGTGTTGCGCGTGCTTCCAATCCACCAGAAATCTTTGTTTTGCTGAAGGGGGTTGACGCACCACTGTAATAAGGCGATTAATTCATTAATGGTCTGAGAATACAGGGCATCTGTTTGCCAGCAGTCATGTTTATAAAGAAAGGTAGGTAAGTAACGTAAATCTGAAAAAGATATTCTAAATTGTTTGTGATTGGCACGGCATTTAATGAGAAGACTAAAACCAAAAGTTAGTCATTATTTTAAACTTTCACAGCTCTCAGTCCACATATCGCCTTGTGCAACGGTATGGCTCTTATCTTTGATTTTACAGAATAATGCATGACAATTACTGCCAGCATAGAGCATGATATAATTAGCTAATGTATTGGAGTAAAAGTTAAATTCTTCCCCTCAGAAATATAGTCGAGACAAATTTATCAAGTCTTCAATGGAAACAGTACTCGTATACTAGTATGTACTTTACCGCTTTTAATATAAAAAAATGTGTCAGCATCTTTTACAATAATGGTGCCCACCCACACGCCACACATTTCAACCGTCTCCATTATTATTAGCTGGCTGCACTAAGAAATGTAATCACGTTCAGAGCCATGAGTCAGAGAGAAGCAGGACCACCAGCAGACCGTGTTACACGTCCTACAGCCTGCAGCACTAACCTGATCACAGTGAAATAACATGTCCAGCTCACTTAGCAGCTAATGCTATCAACAAGAAACAGAAATGGAAGATTCTGTGAAACTGCAATTAAGAAACGAGAGGCAACAGGTATCAGCTGTTTTCAGGCAGTGTTTTCTATTGTTTATTTGTGAATTGCACTCAGAGTGTGGCATCTTTTCCTCTAATAAAGTGGTAAAACAGGCAGCAGTTATTTTACACTGTGTCCCACACCAAACATATAGGGGTAAGTCACTGGATATTAAAGGAATAATAAAGTAGGAGGACTAGTGCTTAGGATTGCTCATTTAATAATGAAAACATTTCAGTATTGGTTGATATGCACTCTGCTCAATAATAATATATTGCATCCTCTTATGCATTCATGGAGTAGTCAAAATCAATAACAAATTGAGCGTTTAGGCTCTTTATATTTATGGCCATGAAATTCAAATTGGTAAAATAAGCCACTTAATGAAATGAGACGCAGCTTAGTGGAAACATTTCGTTTTTCTCAGATGACGGAGCAAGTGTTTCTACAAAAGATGGGGAAATAGTATTTTTTCTAGAGGATTTGTGGTTGAGTACTTCAGAAACATTTCCAACCAATCAAATGTTTAACTCAAATGATAATTAGAACTCTTTATACAGTAATTAATTTAGTCTTGGTGGAGATGGGGGTTATGTATCTAAGTTTTTGTTCAGAGACATTCTTCCTGTTGATATAGATCTCTTATTTTATTTATTTTTCCTTGATTTTAGTGTTTCTTATTTGTATTTATTTTAGTTTTTTTTTCTTCCTTTTCAATAGGCTTTATCGTCTAATAAGACAAATGTAAATCCCTTAAATCTTAAATAAGTGCCTCATTGTGTAATGTGAAAGTGTTTTATATAATATTGGTAAACTAATTATTTAATGGTTAGCACCAAAAGTGTTTAGGATTCTTTATTTTCTCTCTAAAACACTTGCACTAACACCACAACTCATACAAAGTCTTCTCTGGCTTTTCAACACAACTCTATGAAAAACTGGACTTGGTATTTTATCCAACAAAGCATTTCCCTGTTTCATACACAGGATGTTTGGAGGGAAACCTTGAAGGAGGCCTAATTGGCGCCACGCTGTCGTCTCCTGGCACATTAATGACCAATTGTAAAAACTGTACACTGAAAACACATTGACCATGATATTTTCCAAAGATCAAAAGATAAATGACGCGATATTCATGGCATGCTTCAGTCCAATTATTCTTAAAAAGGGTCGGGGTCACCTTAAGGTTAGATTGCAGGAAGGTACCTTCAGTTTGAAGATGAAGTGCTGTGTTTTTTACATTTAAATCTATCTAATCAATGTAATCACTTCCTCTAAGAAAAGCGGTAATTCAGCTGAAATCAAGAGGGGTATAACGACTCTTATAAAAGTTGTAGTTCCTTTTCTACACTTTCACTCCACTGATCTCTATTTCAATTAGATGAAAATAGACGGGCTTCATTTGTAATAGCAGGACACACAAGAGAAAGTAGTCATTACGCCCTTTCAGGCAGCACATCCCCTCTGTGTCACTTTGATCAATAGTCAGCCTCCAAATATAGGTTTCACTATCTGTCCTAAATCTAGTCCCCCTGACACCAGAGGTCATTGATCACCACTGCTGGCCTATTCTCAGGATACGCAATTACCATTTTTCAAACAGAAAGTACATTAAGCTAGAATAGAACATGTGGCTTGTGACACAATATCTGCAAAAGTGAATACATTATTTAAAAATATATTAATAAAGAAATCGAATTAATAATAAATCAAGACGTTGTCAGAGAAGGGAAAAATTCCTAAAATATCTTATATCTGATCTATGACCCGGCCGCTGTGTGAAGAAAGACTGTATTTAAAGGTCCCCTATTATACTGTTTTTCATCAATATATTATAGGTCTCAGATATATACAAAACATGTCTCTGAAGTGTTTGGCTCAAAATACCAAACATATCATGCATTGTAGCATCCCATAATCCCCTCTGTTTCAGCCCTGTTTCAGAAGTGCTGATTCTGTGTCTGTTACTTTAGATCAAAATAAGGAGCCACTCCCCCACGCCCCTCTGAGAGATATTTGTTTAAAAAG